ACATATAAGGGGAGGAAGGCAGAAGAGAGAGAGAGAGTTAATGCATGCAAGATTTAAAAAGATGAGACATGCTTTGACTTGTAGATATACTGTACTAATTATATTAAAAATATATATTAAAAAATCCAAATATTGTATTTGATAAATTTGTGGCTATTTAGATACTAACCAATTTTTAGATGATTCTGTATGCTTTGGAGTTTCCATAACAATTAAATGTTGTATACATTTGCAGCACCGATCATCAGGAACACAGACAGTGAAACGCAAGCAACTGCAGTTCAGAAACCAAGCTGTTGGCCCATCTATGTGTTGCCTCGAGAACTTCAATCAATATTCCCGTCTACCGGGTAAAGTCATCCAGTATAAGTCGTCTGTCAACTATGACCAAAACATACCTGAAGGTACACAAAACTCAGGCACTCATTGCGTGGTATGATCGTCGGCCGACCAATCCAACTACGCTCCCTGTGAGTGTTAGATGACACGACGCAGTCTGCTGATTGGCAGTTTGAGCAGATCGTCATTATAAACGATTTGTTGCATGCATGCCGTGGCGTTGCGTTCTCCATAAAATTGCGTTCACCGACAACCATTGAGCACAATGAGTGCCCTGCTTAATGTTTCCAAGAATGCTTATGGTATATTTTACACAAACTATCGTTAAAACCCATACCGGTAGTTATAAGAATACTAGAGCGCCAATGCATTCGATGTTCTACAAATGCAGAGCTGTGTATCGTTACTCAACAAGATGGCTGCCGTAGATTCAGACTATTAAAATATGCCTAAGCATCTTTTTCAATGACACCCTTAATGTAACATGAAAGTGTTGAGTACATCTAAATTAAACACATTGAGGCTTGATCGTTGCGGTGTAGTGAACATGGTTTCGATTTTCATTCTTCAATACTCTATAATTTATTAATACTCTAATGATTAATGAAATAATAGTTAGGTCGTGACAGTCATTTATGGTTGTAATATGTATACTATCGGTAGCCATCTTGTTGACTACACGTGCACAACTCTGCATTGCATCGTCGCCTAGTTAACACTCTAGTTGTTATAATAGGTCTATGCTATTATTACCTTATTATTTTAATTTCTACTTACACTCCACTCAGATATTTAGTACGGTACAGGATTTCTTTTTTTCACAACCAAAAACAACTCCACTAACTCCTGAGCCTTAAAATAATAACTTGGTTGTGTGAAGTATCTTGTGTGTATGTTTGTCTTGTGAAGAGATTGTCATCTGGATCACTCTGAAGCTGTCCACTCCAAAAAAAATGTTGTATACACATATATAGTCATGATGTGCCTATATATGGTCATGATGCAATATCATAATGACCGTAATTAGGCATGTCACATGGTTATTTATTGAGATAAAATGATCAGAAAACCATAGGGAAATTGAGGCCAAAAAAATCTGAAATCCTCTGTAACCCGAACGATGTTTGACTCTGTTTTGTTATACAGTAATTATTATTGTTGTGTTGTCCAGGTACGAAGACTTAGGAATCAGGGTTAGTCAGTAATTTTTTTTCATAGGACAAACATCATCAAATTTAAAAATGACAATTGTAGCAAATCCTTGGTAAAGCAACCCCAAGTATATTTATGTATGCAACAAAAAAATCGAACCAGGCTTGAGCAACATAGTTTTGTTTTGCCTTATATTTGTATATGAATGTCATGAAATTGTTAATTGTAATTTACAGTATTGTACATTACAGTATATTTTATTGATGGATATTGCTTTTGATTGACTATATGCCTTTTACTTACAGATATCTTAACGATACTGCCAGGAACTGTTAATGGCTAAGAGAGTAGACAGGCATTTTGCAGTAACAGCTATTCTACGTTTGTGCAATATTATCTTCCATAGCATTGTAAAAAATCAATTTGTCCAGTGAATTCAAGGTACATCTGCTCAATGAATTTCTTGAAAACAAAATTCCAAATTCCAGAAATTATATAATCAATTAAACAAATTAACGGTGTATAAAGTAATTCTTTTTTTTACATGTGTTACATTGCAATTTATGTGTAAATTGACATTAGTCAGTATGAGAAATATTTATTAAGAATAGTTAAAATGTTTAAATGTGTAAAATAGCTTATATATTCCTTGGTAAAAATTCAAGATACCAACCTTATTTATTGTAAAAGTATTTATCAAAAGACAAGAAATTATAAAGTAAAATATGCAATAAAAAGAAAGATCGTTATAAGTTTAAAATAATATATGAACAATTTATTTGCAAAGTTTTGGTACAGTTTTGTTGAATAAACTGGTTGCTGCATTATATACTTTAGTTCAGTTTTGTGTAAAAACTTTTAAAACTAATGAAGAAAAAACACAAGGGAGGACAACAAACTAGGAAAAAAATCATCAAAAATAAGATCTACAGACACCTTCCCCAACCTACAAAACACCCATTTTTAAAAACATAAACCTGCCTGCATAGTAGTGTATACGAATCATTAGTTCATGGTCTTCTCTTAACACAGAGTGATGTGACTTACATACACATGTTATTTTGGTTAATTTTCATTATTTAACACAGTTCTCTAACTTGTAACATAGCCTTACAGTTATGATGGTAATCAGTAGATAATTCTGTAGTGCGTTCTGACTTGCATTCAAATTAATTTTTAGATTGGGACTTTTTTGCTTTCTTTCCCTTAGATGATTTTGCTAATAGAGCTGGATCAATCTGATCTTCAGCTAGGCCTTTTACTGAGAATAATCGAGTGGCTCTCTCCTGTAGGGTGCCACCACACTTCAGACCTCTATTCATCAATGCCATCTTGAGTCTTTCCAAGCCGACACATTCAAGCTCACTTGCTGTTAAAAACTGTTCTAAATCAACTTCTTCATTTCTCTAGATAAAGGAAAGGAAAACTAAATTAACAAAAATTTTCTCCTGGAACATGATTAAATTATCTAGTGAGTGCAAGAATATATACAGCGCCATAATTTAGTGTCATACATTTTCTATATATTGTTGTCATAGTATTTATTCTGGGAAATGTGCATAAATATTCAAATATGGAGATGTACATCCAGCAATAGATATGGGAATGTATGAAAAACATGGACATGTGCATCAGCTTGAAATACTTCTATCCTAAACAAAAAAAAAACAAACATGAAAAACAGAAGATTCACTTACAGAGCTATTGCCAGTTTCATTAGCAATACTTGTTTTCTCTACAGATTCATCGATTGGGGGCGGTAGACTTTTAAGCAATGGATGTGCTTTAGTTGTGCTTTCTGTAGGTTCTGCTTGCGCTGTTTCTATCTGTGCTTCTACAATATTTATGGTATCTTCTTTACTCCTGTCATTATCGTCATCATCACTATCACTATCCATGTCAACACCCATCCTACAATTATTTAAATTTTTTGATCAACATACTAATACACAGTAATATAATAACTTCAGAAAACTTTATATAAAATATGCTAAAGTCACAGCTTATTTTGGCCAGCATTAAATATCTTGCAGCTTGTCAAAAGTGTTTCCGAACTATCAATCAAACAACTTGCCAAACAGAACATGGCCAGAAAAATGCCAATGTTTATGTAAGTGTATGCTTTGTTATGTGACCATAGCAACCATATCAAAGGGGTGGAGCTTAGTGGGAAGTTCCATTAACATTCAATCCCACTAATGTGTCAAGCAAAAAGATAGCATAATCCAGAGCAAGATCTTTCAAAGCCACATCTGCTTAAAACCATATATATAATATATTGATAATACGGTTTTATTTATACAATTAACAATTGAGGTGAGTCGAATGGCCGAGCGGTTCTAAGGCAGGGGGTTTTGCAACCTATACATTCATAATATCGGTGCTGGTTTGAGTGGCATGCTCATCTACATTATGGTTCTGGTGGTGCAACAAGTTTTCTCTGTTAAGGACTATAAACAAGTAGGGAGTTACCTCGATGTACTGGTTCATACTGTACAGAACCTTTTGCCCTGCGGTTATAGATCTTAAGACCCTTGGCGGGATGTACCTTTGTAAACAATCGTAAACAAACATGGTTCTGCCTTATGGCACCATGTTACGTACCATAAACAAGACTTCTTGTTTTTGGTTTCCTCATCTTCATCACTTTTTCTCTTTGTTGGTAGTGTGGAGGACGAGGTAGATGAGGAATTTTCACCTGTAGAAGCATGTAAACCTGTAAAACATATAAATCTATATTGTAAACAAAACCCCCAGAAAACACAATAACAATAAAAAATTAACCAGTTGGTAGTGATGCAGCAGCATTGTCATGTGACGTGACTATAGAAACACAGTACATAAGTCATGAAGGCTTTTTCGATGCTGCACTTAAGTTTCTTCTAAAAGATAAAACACCCAAACGATCACTTCAATATCCATGCGAAAGACATCAATTACAGAATGTCTCTACACGTACCCTGTGTAATGGCATCATCTAAATTTTCCAGCACATCTCTTTTCTGCTTGTCATAATTTGGATCAACAAACACATGTCGTGGTTTTGATCGCATTCGTTCCAATTTTGCCTTTCGTTTCTCTTCTCGCTCTCTCTCCAATTCAGCTTTCTTAGTGAGCCAGTCCGCCAGCCTAAAATAAAAGAAAAAATTTAATGCAAGGTGTATGCCACAGGGGTCACTCAACTTGACCATATGTGTGTGTGTGTACAGTAATATGGCTTATTCTTAAAAGGAATGTGTATTTAGTATAAAAACAATACCATGAATTTACAAGGTTTTGTACAATACTTTGCCATCTTTTTCAGGTCAATTATAAAGCACACTTTGTTTGAAATTGAGTCTGTAGCTGGCTATTGGATTTGGAAGAAGTATGAAAAAACTGTGATATATGCCGTACTGTGATGTTTAGAACTATGGTTGCAACATTTTACCCACTACGACCCAAAATAAATTGTCATTAGCTTTCAACAACCCAATGCCTAACAGTTACAGTATTACCCCACCCTTTAGAATGTCGTCTCAAAAACCAGCACAACACCATAACATAACTTCAGAATATAGGTTATCATACTTATCAAGCCAATTTTGATGTTAATGAATAAAATTTAAAAAAAAAAAGAGTATAATACGGTACATTCATTTTAATTTCTTGTTACTGAATATTTTATTGTCTAATTCACTTACTTTTTTTCATTATTTACATCACGCATACGTCGTCCACTTAGATCTCGACAAGCCTCGTGATTAGTAGTTTTTTCAATCTGAGCCCCTAACATCCGTAGCATGGAACCAAATCCTGAGTAATAAATGAATAGTAATCTTGTAGTTTTAACACATTGTCATCAGTTTTGAATCAACCTTTGTTTTCTGAGTAAAGTTTTAGTAATAATTTGCATTTTATTCAATTTAAAGTGTCACAGAATTACAGCCAGACTCAGTAATTGTACAAATGAACAAAATATATATAATCAACAACAAAAAATGGGATACTATTATACTCCAGTTTGTTTTAATATTCAAAAATATGTATCTTGTTAGCCATTTCAGATTATTCCTTCGAGCACCACTTTATTTGTCTTAAAATATGCATTTAGTACAAATGATCAAATAATTTGACAAGCGCATTATACCCACCTCCTTTTCCACCAATCAACGGTAGTGTTACACGATACACTGCATCACTTTCAACTGGGCTGTCATTACTTGCATGTCTTCCATTATGTGTTATTCTCAACTCTTTGTATGATAAATTCTAGAATTTATTAAAAACAAAACATATATGACACTTTTTAAAGTAAAATTGTTACAGAAATATCGTAAGTATGTAGTAATTAAACGTAAATGTACAGTTCATTTTTTAAAAAAATCAACAAGGAAATACAATGCTGTCTTTTCGAACAATTGCACCAATTTAATGCGCAAGTTAATTAGTTATTTTCGTGCACATGTTGTACACACTTCTCTCATCCAAAAGACGAGTAAGTGTGAGGGTGTCTTACTACTAATACTTCTCTCATCCAAAAGACAAGGTAAGTGTGAGGGTGTCTTACTACTATAATACTTCTCTCATCCAAAAAGACGAGGTAAATGTGTGTGTGGGTGTGTACCCATGACACACACAAAAAAAGGACACACGCAGGTACGTGAACCCGACTCACAACAAAGTGGGCATGATACTGGATCGCATGCACAGGCCTAGGCTACGCAGGCGCGACCTAGAGGCCTAGTCTAGTACTGTAGGTAGGCCAAGGCTTCTTGCCTTATAGTTATACTACTGCATCCCACCTAGGCCTAGCGACGGGTACCGCTAGCGACTGTTGTTTGTAGGCTAGGGCTACATACTCACGTATTGACTGCATAATTTCAATTTTAAATCGTTAATAGTTTCCAGTGACTGATCATGACCAATGCAAACATATTCCTTGGACAATATGTTCACAAAAATTGACATTTTTATATGAATTATTGTTTAACTTCCTGAATTGAATATTGTAGCATCGTCGGCCATCAAGCGAATGAAAGACAAATAGCGCCCTCTCGCATCTACAGATGAGGAACCAAAGATCTGGTGAGTGACGCGTTTTAATGGATATCACTTTGGACAATAACCAACGGTGCATCCAATTATAAGAAAAATAAACTGAAACTAGAAGTAAATTAAACTAAAACATGAATATGTCATGAAATAGACATTTTTGATGGTAAGAAAATCTGGCAACTACAGTATGCCTACAAAACATGCATTGTTTCAGTTAAAATGATGATACACAAGGTTCAAAGTTACAAACATATTTGATACTTGACCAAACATATTTGAAAGGAACAAGCACACAAACAAATACTGTAAAACCTTGAATTTAAGCCCTGGGCCACTTCTGTTTTTATTGCGAACTTTGGATGGGCTTCTTTTCATATAACCATGACATAAATTCTTTATAATTTCATTTTAATACTTTGGGAAAACACTGAAAATGTTTTACAATTGTTCAGGAAAAACTTGACGTCAGTTTCAGCTTTTCTGCACTTTTTTTAGAAGTTTTCCAGTCTTCTTTACTAACATAACTGTTGTAACTCAAATCATGAATATATAGATCCAAACGATCGACAAGATACAATAAACAATACAAATTTAAAAGCAATAAACCAAGATTTAATAAACATGTTTCCGCTGTATAACACAG